CACACGACACACGACACACACAATGTTAAAACACACACACACACACACACACACACACACACACACACACACACACACACACACACACACACACACACACACACACACACACACACACACACACACACACACACACACACACACACACACACACACACACACACACCAAGGACTGTGACACACGTATACACACACCTCCACCCCTTAAAGGAGGCAATCATAAATTAATATAAACAAATATATTTTATTTTTATTTGACCATCTATTTATTATTATTATGTAAATTCTGTAGCTAAAGATTACCATTTAATTGAATATATATATATATTTATCACTGCTGGTATTTAATTGTTCCTACTTGAGAGAGGCTAACTACACTTTGTCGTACCTGATCATGATGACAATAAATATATTCTTATTCTGAGATAATAAACAAAGACATTAGTTTAATAGGAACTTAATGTACTGTACATATTGACTAGTACAGACACAGTCACGATGATTAACTACTAGCATTAGGTCTTAATTTTACCCAAAGGGCACATATAGAATAGACTCTTTAATGGTCACACAGTGAAATTTGGCTTCTGCATTTAACCCATTCTAGTACCAGGAGTCTAGTACTAGGAGCAGTGGGCAGCTATTGTACAGAGGGGAGCAATGGGAGGAAGGGGGTTGTCCGGTGCCTTGCTCAAGGACACCACGGTAGGGTCCCGGAGGTGAACTTGGACCTCTCCAAGTAGCAGTCTCCACTCCATATTTAGGTCTGTTCGAGGACTTGAACCGGCTACCCTACGGCTCACAGTCCAAGACCCTACTGACTGAGCCCCTGCCGGACACATATGGTATTAACAAGCCAAAGTACTGTGTTTCAGCCCCAGTATTGCATTTATATATTTCTACAGGAATGTTTGAAGTGCATGTAGTGATTATCTAACTGACAATAATTTATCTGGACTGAACTTTGAACTTCTGTGGAAACTAATGGGGGATAATGGGTTGATGCACTGCCCCAAAGAACTGTTGGCAGATGGCTTGCAGTCCATTTAACTGATTCCCCATAATGCACCATTCGTTCCCTTCTGTAAACTCTGACCTGTGAGTGATCGTAGAAGAAAGACAGACTTAGCTTTCCCACCAAATCCAGCTTTGTTGTTCTAGAAAGAGTTGTGTGTGGATGGACTACACATTAGATTATGTATTCTCTTTTTCTTAAAAAACGAATTTGAAAAAAAAAAAACACCCTTTTAAAATTCCTGTTGTCATATGTAGGGTACTATTTATTTGGGAACTTCTTTTATTTTGAATGCTGGTTTGCTTAGATTTTTCATGAAGTCAAGAGAGGAGAGCTATTTAATTGTCTATTTTGTAGTCAGTTTGAACCTATCCTTCTTTGAAAACTGACAATAAAAACTGTTAAGATTATATGGAAAAGCACTTTTTTTATATTAGACGTGGGGGTAGGACATAGTTTAGATATTATGGCCTTTGATGAAAGGACACTTCAGTAAATCTTAACCTTTGAATTTGATTTGAGTTCTCCAACTAGCAGCAATACCAACAGCTTCATCATTACTGACAGTAAGTTGGTTCAGTTTGTTAAGGAAAGCATTCACTTTTGATTAGATGCGTTTGCTCGCTGCAGGCTATATTTATGAATATATCACGCAATATATAATTGATTGTGTGTTTTTTGTGTCTTTCTCTGGGTAAACTCCACCCAAGTCTTATGCATCATCCACAAATGGAAAATGCCAGACAAATGTTGTGACTCATGAGTTATAAGTGAGGAGGAAAACAGTGCCTCATACTGTGCTGAGTCAGCTCAAAGTGCAGACCCCGGTCAAAAAACAATTACCAACCAGCGTGGGGAGCGTCATTCCATGTGGGATGGAGATGATGTGGAAGGAGTGTGGTGCAGTGGGTTGTGCCTTGGTGTTCGGATCAGGGGGTAACAGGTTCAAACCCCACTGCAGTCAGCATGTCGTTGTGTCCCTGGGCAAGACACTTCACCCCAAATTGCTCCTGTGGGGATTGCCCACAGTATTGAGTATGTATACCGTGTCGGTAACACTTTATTTTGATAGTCCATAGTTAACACTCTATAAGTCATCAGTTGACTTTCAACAACACTGTTTCAACAGACAAGTAACATGCATTCAACTAACTGTCAGTAGAATATAAGGTACATCTCAAGTGTTGATCTATAGATTTTACAAAAAGTGTCTGTTGACTGTCAACATGTTTTTTGCAACAGGTTATTAACCGATATTCAACCTTACTATCTGTAGATTGTGTCAACATCTTCAAAATTGACAATCAACTACTCAAAATCAATCTGTCAGTTGAAAGTCAACAGGGTCATGTCGACTATGTTGATAATCTGTTGAGAGTCAAGATGTCAACTAAAGATTACATTAACCATTAGTTGACGATCAACAGATAAGCAACTAAAGTTTTGTTGACTTTTACATTAAGTATTAGTTGATGATCAACAAACCCTAACCCTTGGCTATCAAAATAAAGTGTTACCAAAGCGTCTAACAAGTAACATGTAATGTAATGATGTGGCTCAAATGTCACCTGGCAGCTAAATGCAATCTCTGTCTACTGTATTTTAAATTGTGTCCAGTGCCTTTGAGGTTATGAGACATATCTCCTTTTTTAACCTTGATCACGACGACAGACCCTACACCAACTCTGCAAATAAGCCTGTGTTCCTATAATGGTCATGTGGTACAGAGGAGAGCTAGCGAAGGACAAAACAATAAAGGGTTGAGACAGTCTCTCCGAGTACTCATCTTCACTTTTCAGCAACACCTCCTTTTTTAATAAGATCTGTCCTTGGTCACCCTCCAATCCTCCACATGTGGGAGTGGTGACAGGGTTGAAAGAGGAAGCAAAGCCCTGTCTGTGCTAAACAGGACAAATGTGCATTAACCAACCAAGCATGGGTTTCAGATTTAAATGCATGGTCATTAGCTACAAAAGGGGCAATTACTGTTGTCTCTTGTCTGGTCTGTTAAAGTGTTTCCCCCTCCTTGTGAAATCCACACTGTCCACATAATAATGGGCTTTTCTCTCAGCCATCTGAATCTGTGTGATCTAAACAAGAGTTTGCATCATATTCAATGCTGTTTCAAAGTTTATGTTCACCTCAGGATGAAGTATAAATCTGTTCCTTCCTGTTTGTTTTTTACAGCAATACTTCCATGCTGGAGGAAACGGGCTGAAGAAAACCTTCCTGGAAAAGAGCCCCGATATGAGGTCCCTCAAATATGCTCTCAGCCTTTACACTCAACCTACAGATGCCTTGATCAAGAAATATATATGCACCCAAACCTCTCAAGGTAATGAGCTAGCCAAGATTGAATTACGTTTCAGTTTAGAGAGTGGCTTTACCTCAGCATTCAAATAATGAAAAATTAGGTTGGGGCTCTGCTGTTTGTTATAAAGACATTTCAGCAAGACCATGTGATGCTGGACCATGCTAATTATTGTGGGAACTATTGTGTCACAGCCCTTTTGTCTGACACTCGTTAAGAGTAAACATATTCCAATTCAACTTGATTAACTCTATTAGTGATCAACATGTATTCGGCAGCTGTTGTGGTAGCCATTTGCTCCTGTAACAATATATTTTAAGTGATACCGGTGAAAAGCCTTACTAACAGCAAATCAGCAGCTGCTTTTATTTGTTGTAAGAAGTGATTACAAATAATGACTCCAGTCCCGGCTTCTTTTAAGCGTTATATATTTCTGTTTTCCCATCAGTGTTAGCTTCCTTTCCACAACAGTCTATGTGCTCTGAGGATCTCTCTGTGTCACGTCATGTTCTTTGGTTGCAACGGAAATCGCAGTAATTGCATTTATCCCCTTAACTGTTTAAGTCCTTTATTGCGTTCAGGAGAAGAAAGAAATAAGCAAACTTTCCAGTGGCCACTTCACCACATAGCCTGAGGGGCTGGAAGACTTCCATGCTCTATTTCTCTCTTCCTTATTAGAAACACATAAAAACCCTGTCATGACACAAACATATAAGGTGCATCCTTATATGTTTCCATCCAAGTGTGAAATGTATAAATTCCCATTTGCGCTCGTTCCCTCTGTCATCACAGACCCTCTTTATCTGTTGTCATCACATCCATCCGTCTATATGTGGAACGTTGTTACTCCATCTCTAACAAGGTGTCCGGAGAGATTCGAGTGGGAATTCTGCCCAGTGGGGCGTGGAAGCTTTAAGCTCCCGGCTGCTCAGCCTTGCAGAACGATGCATACTGTAGGCAGGCAGCAGGAAACAAGATGGCAAAAGGCAGAAAGCTAGTCAGGCAGGCAGCAGGACCTACGAGCATCCATTCTCTCTGTGTCTTGCAGCCTATAAGTGGAACTGGTGAGGTGGTAGATGGGCATTAGGACAGTAAACAGTGTGGGGATGGGATGATGCTTGATGAAGCACAGTGGAGACCGTTTCATTAATCAGCAACCTCTGCTCTGACACATTTAGACCATGCTATGCTCTCGTCTATTCCCCTCTTCCTGTTTATTTGAAGCTACATCACTGGACAGTAATAATAACACATCTTTTCGTAACACTTTCTATAAAAATAAAAAATACCACCCTTACGGCCCGTCCACACAGCGGCGTGCGTTGACGCTTCACCATTCACTTTGAATGGGGCGACGTCACTTTTCGCCGAACTGCATCGTGGGAAGCGACGTGGAGCGTTGCTGGCGTGGCTCGCTGCAAAAGTTGAGCAATGTTCAACTTTTGACGCCTCGGCAGAAGCGTCAGCCAATCGAATCATATGCCAGTACAAGCTCTAGCCAATCAAACCGCTGCTTGTGTGTCAGGGGCGGGAGATTCATGTGATTGGCTGTTGGTCGAGTTTCAGACACGCCCGCCGGCAAGCTTCAACGCACGCCGCTGAGTGGACGGGCCGTTACTGATGTCCGCTGGTCTCCAGTCAGTGAACACAGGTAGCACGTGCAGATTACTCTGCCTTCTTTGCCTTTTCACTGCCATGCATGTCATGGTATAAATGCACGGGAGAAGGTTGGGGTCAAACTTTGTAATGACATTCATTTAAGATGAATTTTTGGCTGCCAGATGAATCGCAAGTGTTAACGCTTTAACCCTGTCATATATTGTACATTTCTGAATTAGGAATGGCACATTGATATATCAATGATTTCTCCTGAAGAAGTTCTTGGTCAGTCAAAGCAAATTAAAGAAGACAAAGTCATGTTTTGTTGTTTGAAAAAAAGAATTCTGAAATGCAACAGCTTACCCTTTTAAATAGTTCCATGCACTCTCATTGTGTGGAGCCTTCTTGATCTGGGTCAGACAATACCTTTCAGAAAGAGAGGGAAATCAATCAAATGCATGCAACAGACAACGTAAAGCGCTTTCTGAAGCAGAAACAATGTTGGGTTGTTTTGGGAAGTAAGTACCGGAAAACAGAGTGACTTTAAGGTGTGAAGCCAAAAACGTACCATCCAACTTAAAAAAGTACAAATGAACTTTGTGTCCAAGTTGTCCAGACATGAAGAGAATACTCACTGAATCTCTCTCTCCACTAATGCAGGTTCAGAGAATCCTGTAGTGTGAGAAATAACAAAATGCCTCTGGTTCCATGCAGAGTTATTCCTCACATCTTCTTCCAGAAGAGTCTCCACAAACTCCAGCTCACTGTCCCACAGTTTGTACTCCTGCAGGTAAACAAGGACAGTGTTGTTGTTGGCAACGTACTAGTATCATGTAATGACCACCAGAGGTGTGGACTCGAGTCACATGACTTGGACTCGAGTCAGACTCGAGTCATCAATTTGATGACTTGAGACTCAACATGACAAAATCACATAACACTTGCGACTCGACTTGGACTTGAACACCAATGACTTGGGACTTGACTTGGACTTGAGCCTTCTGACTTGAGGTGACTTGATAATTTAATTCAGGGGTCTCCAACACGCCGATCGCGAGATGCCGCTAGAAGAGCAGACTCCCGTCGGGGAGAGCAGAATCTCCAGCCGCTTCTACTCTTGCTGAGAATCCTTGCAGGCAGTCTTTATTTAGCTGGGCCACCATGCGGCCAATCATATGCGAGGACACACTAGGATCATACCATTATGTGAAAGAAGGGTGGGGGGCACAGCAGGTGTAGTGGTACAGGCCAGCTGCACAGAGCGACGGGAGCCAGATTTAAATGCAAGCGCGTCGGAAAAAGTCAAGAAATTAGCGAAAACCGAAAAAATAAGCAGCATTTGGCTGCATTTCAATGATATTGGAGAAAGCGAAGCTGAGTGCAGGATTTGTAAAATGAAAATAACCTTCAGAGCAGGTTTTTTTTTGGCACTCAGGATTTATTGTCAGAGGTGGGAGAAGTTTAGATCTTGTACTTGAGTAAAAGTAGCCTACAGAGTGTAGGAATACTCGGTTACAATAAAAAGTCCTGCATTCAAAATGTTACAAGTAAAAGTACAAAAGTATTAGCATCAAAATATACTTAAAGTACCACCTGCAGAGGCATCTAGATTCAGGTGTTCTTTTCCCCATAGAGACCGCCTTGCTGCACATTACTCCCTTGCAATAAAGATAGATTGTGGTCCCTTATAACATGTCTGTACACAGTGGAAATAAACATTCTGGTTCCTCAACAACAGGGAATCTTATACATTAACTCCTTCTGAATCAAACCGTCCACGGTAGCCTTACCTTACTGATCCCTCTTTAAATTAGAAAAAAACACGTTACTTTTACGAGCAGAGAGAAAAATTGATTTATTAAATTATATTAAAATGTGACCCAAATAAAAAAGAGCAGTGGATTATTAAAGTATTATTCTGTTGATCGATGTTCATTAACATTTGGTGAAAGCACATAATGACTTGTTTATGACTCGTTTTGTCAAAGTTTTACGACTTGACTTGACTTGAACTTGGCCAATCCTGACTGGAGGACTTGACTCGGGGACCTTGAGCGCAAAAGACTTGGAGGACTTGACTCAGGACTTTTGAGCGCAAAGACTGAGACTTGACTCGGACTTGAGCGCAAAGACTTGGAGGACTTGACTCGGACTTGAGCGCAAAGACTTGAGACTTGTACTCGGGACTTGAGGGCAAAGACTTGAGATCGTGATGACTGTGAGTGATTGTGAAGTCGCAAAGTTCGATTGAGTGAGTGATGAGTAGTGATGATAGTGATGAGTGAGTGAGTGAGTGAGCTGAAGGAGATGATAGAGAATGTTTTTGCAAGAGAACAGAGAAGAAGAGCGATTGGCCGTCCTGATGTGAACCAGACATGTTGTGTTGTTGAGAGCGATGTGTGTGTTGTGATGAGAGAGTGTGTTAAGTAGAACGCAAAAATAAGAACATGTGTGTTGTGTGTGTGTGTATGTTATGTTTGTTGGTGTTGTGTGTTATCTGTGTAAAAGTGCGTGCCAACTACTCCTGTCTGAGAACCGACTGGTCCGGCGCCCAAGTGTTGTGAGTTTGTTGGGTGGAGTGTGCGGGGTTGTTTTATTGTGACTGGTGTCTGGTGATGAGAACAAGTGTAGCCTCGGTCGATGAACTCAATCCCGAGCCTTTCAGCCATCCACCACTATACGCCTTGTGGATGCCTGGTGGTGATGTG